TGCCACTCATCAGAGGTAGGGGTGCTCCCCAAGGCTGATTTCTGGAGTTGGGGGGGACGGAGTGAGGTTCTCCTCTCAGCAGAAGTGGAGTTGAGCTGAGAGAGATGGTCAGAGGCCCTGGGCAGGGGAACTGGAACAAATTGGGGGTGCAGGGGGTTTTGTTGTTGCTTTGTGTGGATTCTGACTCTGCAGGGTGGAGCAGAAATGCCTGGTGGCTCAGTGCTAACTGTGCTGGGGGGGCAAACAAAAAAAGAAGCTGTGCTGCAATCCCAAAGGCACGCGGTTCAAATCCACTAGCTGCTCTGTGGAAAGGACAGTCTTCTCCCGTGCCGTCTGCAGCCTCTGAAAACCCATCGCGGTGTCAGCGATGAGTCAGTTCTGACTTGATGGCACACAACAACAACAACAACAACAATCTTTATGGATGCAAATGGCCTCATTTGGCTCCCTGAGAGTAGCTGGTGGGTTCAAACCACAGACCTTTGTGTTAGCCCTTGTTTAATCACTTTGCCAGGAGAGCTTCAGGCGGCATTCTGCCGGGAGCTGGGGGTGGCCTAGAACGTGCTTGGGGTGCAGCGTGGGCCGCGCCCTCCCTGCCTCCGTCGCCTCGTCTGTGAAGTGGCCCAGCTCCTCCAGCACGCTGAGAACCAGGGGATGTGGGGCGGCAGGCCCTCCCCGGCCCAGGCCCAGGCCCTCTGGCCTCGCTGGGCTCCCTTCTCCATAAAAAAATAAATTAATTAAAAATTATATTTTATGACTTTGTTGGCATAAAGACAAATATATTCATATTCTACAGTACAACATTCTCTTCGACCTGAAAGTTCATTATCTTTTTTCCTTGTTTTAGGAGAAATGACAGCATTTCCGAGAGCACTGAAAAGTGTTGTGGGCTGAGGCACCGTATCCAAGTCTCCGTGAGGGATGTCAGAAGTAGGGGGCTGGTCTTGTAATGGGGGTGTTTCCTGACAGGAGCAGGGGAAGGGCGTACAATTTAGTGCTATTGGAAGAGGATTCTGCGTGGCCCTGCCTCCTCCCTGCACCCCTATGTCCCCTCTCTTCACCCCCTCTTCTCCCACATCACCCTCTATTGCACTCTGGCCTGCCCCCTGAATGGTCACCCCAAGGTCCAGGACCAAGTCTGCTTCTCCCTGCTGTGACGTGCCCAGCACTGGGCATGGGGCAGGCACTCAACACAGCCTAAAATGTCCCTTCCAGGGACCCTTGGTGTCCTCCAGCCAGTGATGGCAGCCGCTAGGGACAGGGAGTCTGTTTCATCCCTTTCACGGGGCTGGGGCACAGGCTGGGGAGTGGCTGGACTCTTCACTAAGACTGTATACTGGGCAGAGCAGGGGCTGGACCCCCTGGAGGAGGCGGGCCTGGGCCTGAGATGTGAAGAGAGAATGGAATTGACAGAGGGTTCTGTGTAAGCAAACGTAGAAGCTCGGAGTTTGTGGGGGCCCCAGCTTCTTGCCTGGTGGGCACCGTCAGGAGACTGTGGGGTTGGCAGTGACGGGCACCGGGGGGCTCCGGCCCTCTCTCCACCAAGGTCACAGGCCGTAGTGCTGAGGCTGGGAGCGAGTTCATCAAGTCCAGTGAAGCGTGGTGCAGCATGCCATCGTCAGGGGACGTGCCAGGCTGGGGTGCCTCACCCCACAGTAGGGGTGGAGAGGTCATTTCAACAGAGCAGGACCCCCCCCTTCCACAGTGTTCCCCTGCCTGGCACTCCACCCCACCTGAGAACTAACCCCATAGTCCAGTTTGCTCATGGAAAACAAAGACCTTGCTTTGCTGGGAGCTGTCTTGGGGCTGACCATGGGGTCCAGGGCGAGCTCGTTCACTCATGTCCACACGCTCACATAAAGGCAAGGCCAGGGGCTAGGGAGGTGGCCTTGACAACAGTTGTCCTGGGCACAAGCTTTGTTTCCCCGCTCCACTGCCATCCTGTGAGCGAGCCTCAGTGTTCTCATCTTTGAAGTGGGCTTATGTCCAGATGTGATTTAGAGCCTCAAACCAGACAGGGGAAGCCCAGGGCAGGGGTGCAGTGGAAGGGGAGTCACAGGGCAGTGGTGGGGAGGCCTAGGGCAGCAGAGTGGGGACAGTGGGACAGGGGAGGGGGAGATATGAGGTGGTGGGTGGGGAGACGTGGGGTGTACAGTCCAGAACCGTGGACAGCCAGGACAGAGGATTGGGGGAAGGCTGCAGGTTCCGGAGCCAGGAGGACCAGAGCCCCTTCTAGCTGAGAGGGGGTACTGACCGGCATCCTTTGTCACAAGCATCCCATTTTGAGTGATTCTCTCCTACCAGCCTCCAGTCCATCCCCCTTTAGACAGCACAACTGGAGCCCAGCTTGGAAACCCCTGGAGAGGAGGCCTGAGAAGGGGGTGCAGGGAGATACCAGCAGGAGAGTTTCCCTTCCCCTGGAACCTCTACCCTTGTGCTGGGCATGGGGGGACGTGGAGGGCCTACTTCCCAGAGTGCCCAGCGAGAGTGAGGCAGATCTGTGGCCAGGCGCCCGAGTTAGAGCCCCCCACTGGCCTGCTCCTGCCCTCGCCTACCTGTGATAGGTAACGACCCCTGGCCTGCCCCTCCTGCTCCACCGGAAGTCCTTCCACTGCCCCGGGCCCACCTCCCTCCTCAGCCCCTCAGAGATGCTGGGCAGGTGAGCGTTGAACCAGGCCCCTCACCAGGCAGGACCACCCGCAGTGGGGCTCGGTGGGGGTGGGGGGGTGCGGGCAGTCCAGGTTGGTGTGTCCTCCCACCAGGGTCCTGCAGAGCAGCAGGTCAGTGCCCCCTCCCCTCCCGCCCTCCAGGGCACGCGGCCAGCCCATTTGGCACCGTGCCCTTCTTGAGCTGGAGCCAGCTCGTTTGTGGCCGGTGTTAATTAAGAGAGAGAGGTGATGGGAGGAGGTGGGGGCCATGGAGGGCAGCTTCCGACAGCCGCCAGCACTGCCCTACGGGCTGAAGGGGCCAGAAGTGGCCCTGGGCCAACCCGAGAGACCCCTACGGGCTCAGGGGTGGGCTGCCCAGAGGTGTACACACACATGTGCTCACAAACATACACACGCAGAGAGTCAGACAGAGAGGACAGACACAGCCAGAAACAGACAGAGATGGACAGACACGGAGAGAGAGAGACACACACGCACAGAGAAACAAAGAGACAGCGAGTGGACAGACACACATACGTACAAACACAGAAACAGTGCACAACCAGAGACAGAGATGGACACACATAGAGACACACAGACCCAGGAAAAGACAGACAGACACAGGCATGAAGAGACAGGTCAGTCAGGCCTGCTTGGGGGAGGAACAGGGATGTCACCTGAGGCCTTGGGTTGGGGGAATATCTTGGTCCCGACCAGGGGCCACCTCCCCTCAACAGTCCGAGGACCATCTTCCTTGATGTCTGCCTGCTTCCTGGCCTGGCTTTGAAGTCAGACAGACCCACTTCCAACCCTTCTATACCTCCCCAGCTCAGTTCAACCTCTTGAACCTTGGTTTCCTCATCTGTAAAATGGGAATGATGCACCTTGCTCTTAGGATTGTGGTATCAAACGGGCCCATTGGCAGAAGCACTCAGTTGGCACCTGGCAAACTTGCCCATCCAGCCACTGGGGGCCTGGCCACCCAAGGTCTCATAACCCCCACCCCCCCCCAGGTGACTCTGTTTCACCCCGGCTGGGCTCTGGGTTTGGCCCTGCCGCCTCCCGCAGGCTCCTCGCGGCCCCCCAGCCCTGCTCTGGGAGCGCCAGCGTCCCCTCGCCTCTCCATCTTAATTAGCTGCTTGTATTAATCTCGCAAGTAACGTGGCAACTTGCAGCCCTGGGTTTTCGGGCTGTGGAATTAATTATTCCCCAAGCGAAGAGCTGTCAGCTCTGGGAGACCAGCCACTCGGCGCCGCCCCAACACCACTTAGCGGCATCCACAGCTTCCGAACGACACCCAGGCCGCCAGCCCCAAGGTTGGGCCCCGCTCTGGGCCCCACACCCTCCGCAGACAGACGGCCCCAGGAAGGTGGGATGTGGGGTGGGGACAGTGGGCACAGTGCCTGCCCTGTCTTACCTGTCACTTCTCTCTGATCAGCACTCACAGTTACCAAGGCTCAGCCAGCATGTTCAGGGCCGGCCCAGACCAGGGAGGGACTGGGACAGAGCCGAGGGAGGGCACCGGGCAGGGTGGGAGCTGCCCGCCTCACTTTGTCCCCACATCAGCATCTGTGGGGAAATGGGAGGGGGACGCCAGCCAGGCGGAGCCGGATGGACAGGACTGCTCCGGAAAGTGACAGTCACTTTGGCCACCAATCCAGCCTTGTCTGGCAATGTCACCTTCCATCTGAGGAGGGGACAGGGGCCTGAGCCGCCCCCCACAGCCCAGAGGAATGGATTCCTCTCCCTTGAGCTTCGCATCACCACTGGGCGGTGTGATAGGGAAACTGAGGCCCCAAGTCACCCCTCTGGTTCCAGTTCCATGCTCTCAGCCTGGGGTGGGAGGCCCCTTGCAGACCACACTATGTCCCCCTTCATCCGTCAGGTACTCCCAGCCCTGGTTCAAGTCCAGTGCGTCCCTTGGATGGCGTTCACTGGGCCTTCGGCAAAGCTGTCTACTTCCTATTAACCTCTAGCCTGTGTCCACAGCAGCCTGCAAGGGGCCCAGGGCAGGGACTGAGAGGCCTTCTGACCTCGCCTTGTTGTGCCCCAGGCCTGGCACACTAGCCTCTTAGAAAGTGCCCAGGGCAGGACAAGGAAAGGGCTGGCAGGGCGCGGCCACCTTCCCCACGTGCAGTTGCTCTGAGGTCTCCCAAGCCCCTTACCACCTGCAAACCACGCCCACTGGGACTCAGTGAGACATTAAGGCCCAGCTCCATCTCCCAAGGAGCCAGGTGGGGAGGGTACCTGGGCCTGTCCCTCAAGGCCAGTCCCGGCTCAAGTGACCTCATGTCCCCTCTCCCACCTGCCGTGCCCTCCTCACTGACCTGCCTTTCTCTCTCTCTCTTGCAGCCAACAGCTCCCTGCTCGGCGGTGGTGGCGGTAAGTGGACCCCAGTTGTTTGTGGGTGCAGGTTGCACCTGGGGGAGCTGTGGCATCCCTCTTTCCTGCTCTCCTGTCTTGCATGCCTAGTCCCTGCCCATCCCTATCCCATCATCCTCCCAGCCCCTTCAGCACCCCCACTTCTGCCCTCACTCTCTCCTGTGCTCCGGCCGTTGTCACTTTAGAAAGCTGGGGACCTGACTGTTCAGCCAGGCTCCCTCGTGGGGGTGGGCCGGGGGCAGTCACCCTTCTAGTCTCCTGCTCTGTAACTGGGTTGGAGGCTGGGGCTCAGGGACAGTTTAAAAGGGGACAGCTTGGGGCTGGGAGGACACAGGTGCAACAGAAAAGCCCAGCCTGGTCCCTGTTGCCCACACGACCTTGGAAACCTTGTACCCCTACGTGTTTCCCCATCTTCTCAGAGCCTTTGCAGCGTGGGGGCTCAAAGCTGGGCAGATTTGCCTGGGCGTGGCTGTGCGGTCACTGTTGTGAAGGGCCACCGTGCGGCAAGGTTCCCCGCAGGGCTGACACGGAAAGGGGTCAGGATCAGGTGGGCCTGAACCCCAGGGGTGCAGCCTGAGGTCAGTCAGTGCCATAATGCAGAGGAGGGAGCCTGTGTCCTGTGGCCTCCTCCTCAGCCATCGCTGCCCAGGCTGGTGGCCCCGGTGCGCCAGCTCCAGCCCTGGGCCCCCAGCTGGCCTGGCTGCCCGCTCTGCACAGCGGCAGGATGATTGGTGGGCCTGGGGCCAGAGGTTAATGCGCCGTAGGATAAATCCCGGGGGCCGTGTTTACGGCAGCGGTGGCGGGGCCCAGGCCAGGTTTTAAAAGGGGGAAAAATAAAAGGGGCAGCGCAGGTCAGAAATAAATAAAAGAGCGGCGTGAAGAGCTGTGGGGGCGCAGCCAGGCTGTTTATGGCTGGGTATGCCTCCCCGCCTCCCACCAGCTGTGGAGGTCACAGAGGAGGGAGGGGGAGGGGAGGAGGCAAGAGAGGAAGATGAAGAGGAGGAGAAGGAGGGTGAGAGAAGAGGAGGAAGAGGGGGGTCAGCTGGAGGTCAGACAGGACGACCTGGACACTGAGCCATTTGAAGCCGGAAGACAAATGGTCACGAAAAGGGGTGGACCTTTATCCCTCAAATCAGGTCATCCCCCGTCTTATGCACAAGCCTCCTGTCTCACTCTGAGCCCCGGCCAGGACCCTCCCTGTGACCCCAGAGGTCCCCAACCACCACTCAGAATCACCCCTCCTCCGCTTCCCCCACACCATGCTCCCTGTTCACTGGAAAGGCCCGGTCCCCTCCCACCTCAGGACCTTTGCACAGGCTGTTCCCTCAGCTTTAAGTCCCCTCCCTCCAGACAGCTTTGTGGCTGTGTCCTTCACCTCTTACACACTGTTGCCTTAATGCCACCTTTTCTGAGGCCCACCCTGACTCCTGCCCACTGGCCCTCTGGTGCCCTCTCTTCTTCTGGCATTACATGATTAATTGTCTTATTTGTTATGTTTATTGTTGTCTGAGAGGATGTTACAATAAGACTGTACCCCAGCCCCGAGCAGAAGCAAGGACAGCTCTCCTCGACCCCGTCATCACCCCTAAGAACCAGGGCCGGTGGCTTTGTAGGTGGGAGGTCAAAGGGCACCTTCTCTGTCAGAGTGCGGTGGGGAGGGGTGCAGGGGCCATTCTGCTGCTCCTTTACCCACAGCACTGGGAGCCTGGAGGTGGCCAGAGTGTCCCACCCCCAGCCTGACTGACGGGGAGACAGATGGGGTGCCAGGACCCGGGAGGAAGTGGGCCCGGAGTCCAGCCTTTTAACGCGGCTGAGATTTATGGAGCCGCTGTGAGTGCTCCGGGGCTGTCACTCTGTTAATGTGATTGAAACAAGGTGGCGGGAGGGGACGCTAGGCTGGGGGCGCTGGCACTGCAGGGGGGCTGGCTTGGAGGCAGGGTCCAGGCTCCAGGGTGTCCTCTGTATTCATCCGCCACCTCTGTCCGCTGCTGTCCCCTGACCATCCAAGCGTCTCTCCCCACCCTCGAGCACCTACCTGACCCTGCCTGACTCTCCCCAGGTCGACCTCACTCTCCCATGGGACCCCCAGATGCCCCTTTCTCATCTCCTGACAGAGGTTCATGCTTCTACTCAGTCACCATCCATCAGTCATCACCCATTCTCACCCCCCACCCACCCACCTGCCCACGCACCCATCCATCCATCCTTCCAGTCACCCATCCATCTACCCTCCCGTAACCATCCACCTGCCTACCCTGTCCATCCATTGGCCGGCCCACCACCCGCCACCGGCTTCATTGTAACAAGCTCCAACCCCTTCCTCCTGCCTCGACCGCCCTGTTTACAAGCCGCCCAGGCCGTTTGCACACACACTTGTTTTATGCGTGTAGCTGGTTACCCATCTTTCTGGCTTTGACAGTGCAGGGTTCTGGGGACTCTGAGCCCCTAGAACAGACCTTGCTTAGTGGTCAAGAATGAGTATTTGTGGCAACAACAGGTTGCACATTTGCGTGTGGAGTTCTGCCCTGACAGCTGGGGCCCCGCTTCTAACTGTTCTTACTGTCTAGTCTGGTGGGGGAGACAACAACAGGCATCCGTGAGTTTGAGGGACATTGGAGGGGCCTGGAGGGGCCGGGAACTCAGAAGGGACCAGACCTGGCCTGCAGCAGGTCCACTCCAGCTGTCCTCCCAAACCTGATGGGAGTGAGAAGGCTTCCGCCTTGGGGCAGCCGGTAAAGGAGTCCCCTTACTCCTTCAATATCAACTCAGCTCCCCCAGGGGACTGAAGGTTCCAGAGCCCCCAGGCCACACTAATGGTGCTGAGCCCATAGTGAAACTTAGGACAGCCTCCCAACCCCTATTCCTTCTCCAGGCACTCTCTATTTATGAGCCTGTGTCAGGGGCCAGGGCTCAATTTTGTCCTCAAGGAGATCAGTTTGGTATGGGGCTTCCTGGCAAAAGGGGGCATTTGATGTGGGTTCTGAAGGTTGAATAGGAGTTTTCCAGGTATAGAAGAAACAAGAAACTCAGCAGATCCAGTGTCTGTGGTGGGGAGGGGGGCACCCACCCAGCCTCTCTGCAGCCTGTCCTCTGTCCTCCACCTCCTTCACGTACAGCCTTTTACCAGCTCAATATTTTTTTTTCAAATAACACGACTCTCCTATTGTATGGTAAAGAGGGAGGCGGGCCCTAAATCAGCCGGGGAATCGACAGGGCCCTGACGTCTCTCCTGTTTATTAGGACTGAAATGTTTACTTGGCGATAAGGAGCTGGCTTTCTGCTGAGATCCGTGCGCTCTTTTTCAATTACCCCTCGTCTTTCTCTGCCACTTTTGCACTAAAGGGATAATAAATGTATCGGAGCGTTTCAATTATTCATCTAAATCATGACGGCGCCGGCCACGGCCGGGCCTTAGTGACAGATTAATTCAGAGCCTCCTGCCTCCGCCTGCCTGGCCGCCGTCCCCACCCGGGCCTGGCCAGCACCCCTAGGACCCACTCAGAGGGTAGGTGAGACAGGTCAGATGGGCCCTGGCAGGTAGCCAGTGTGAGTGTACCCCCAAGACACCCCACGCCAGTATCCCTGCTTCCCACAGCCACATTGCAAGTCCTTGTGTGCGTGTCCTGCACCTTCACGTCCCAGGCATCCCACCTGCACCGGTGGCTGGACTCAAGGAGGCTGCAGTCGGGGCGCCGGTAGCTCGGCTTCCCGAGAGCCGTGCGTGGTGCAGGGCCTTTGCACGTGCTGCTTCTTTGTGGCTCACTCCTCTCCTCCCAATCAGCCACCCCTTCCCCACGCAGTCCCTCCTGTCACCTGCAGGTGTTCACAGGAGTGCTGCTGTGTGTGTGGCCCTGCCCAGTGTACTGGTGACACAGCACAGCCAGCCAGGACAGACCCTCGGTGAACGTCCTAGGGGAGCACTCTGACGGAGGTGGCACTGGGGCTGCAGTAACCCACAAACGGGGTCGGTTCCTCATGGCGGCTGGTGCTGTTATCAGAGAATCAGACTCTCATTTGTGTGACTGGGTACCGGCTGCCTCCCTCATCACACTACCCGCCTAAGAACGCGCATCTGGGCATCTGTCTGTCCACTGCTCTGTCTTCTGTCCTGGCAAAGCATAGATACTCACCTGTGTGCTGACCAGCTGGGCCTGGCACGTGACTGTCCTGAGTCCCCTGTGTCCCCAACCTAAGTCACCGAGATCCCACCACGTAGACACCCGCCTGCCCCCCAGGCCCTCTCCACTCCTCATCCAGGCGGCTGCCCCGCACCTCACAGCCTCTCTCACTCCTCTGCCTCCCTCCCCCTCCATCTCCCTCTTTTCATGGATCAGGTACTCACCCCCCACTTCCTCTCCATCCCTCTGTCTCTCTCTCCTTGTCCCTCTCATTCCTCATCCTCTAAGCCTGCCCAGCTCTCTTTTCTCCTCGAGTTCTCTCCCGCTCTTCCGCTCTCTGGCTCACTCTCCACTGCCCATAGCCCGGGCCGCAGGCCGGCCAGCGGAGGACCAGGAGGCTCCTGAGGGCCAGGCCCAACTTCTGCCCGGTTCACTTGTTCTCCGCCCCACGCTGCACTATCTTCCATAATCCTGCACCACTAATCCTTGATTGCTTCCTGTGACCATGACCGCTGCGAGGGGCAGTGCCGCGGGG